GTACACCCGTTTAAGGTACAACAACGTTAGGTAACCAATGCTGAAAGTTATGAAATAGTAAAGCATGGAAGAGCTTCGTTAAAATTCCTTCTACTTGCACTTCTACTTGGAACAAACTTTATATGTCGTGGATGGAACCTATCGGCTAGATATTAACGATTGAATGATAATCTTGATGACGCGATTGTACCCTATTAAGACGAATAGAATCATTAAATTAAAGGAGGCTATATGAAAAAGAATGGCGACTTTTTGAAATTTTATTTTGCGTTTACAAATATGTGATATCGTTTAAATTTTAATAGACACACTTGACTAGTACAGTTATCTCACAAAACATAATTATTTTTATATTTTCTGTTACACACACACACACACACACAAAATGATATATATATATATATATATATAATATGCAAGTCAAATTATATTTCTTTAGAATATTTCTTTAGAATATTTCTTTTAGATATTATAATAGATATATGTTTTAGATATTATAGATATTATAATATTTCTTTTAGACAAATAAAATTAAATAATACGTACTTGAACGAATATTTCTATTTCCAAGCTTTTTTTTCCAAGACCTTGTTGCTTATTGTTCATAAGAATAAATTTGAATAATGATGGTGAGGTCTTTTTTAAGACCACCAATCGTACATAATTCTACCGATTTTTCCAGTAAGATAACGTTAATCTAGCTGAATTACAATGATTAATCTAACTGAAAATCGACGAATCGGCGTAAGTAAAAAAAAAAAATTCCAGGCACAAAGTCAGATTATATGCACGTGTAACAATCTCCTCAATTATAAGCAACGAAATATCAAAGTATATACTTATGTACATGTGTAAGATATACGAGTTTCATTCGTCGTTTCATCAAACATTCTCCAGCTGTATTTTGCTTTAACAAGAAAGTTTTAAAATGTGTGTTATATAATTATTCGTGACATCATCATACGGAGCACATTCGTTACAGATAAATGATACAATTAATTTTTTACGTCAATTGTTTCACGAAAATCAATTTATTACCACTGCAGCGTATTTCACTTTTAAATTAAAAAAAAAAAAAAAAAAAAAAA